CAGTCAGCAGAAGGAGCCTGCAGGAGTGCGCTCTAACCACTGTGACACCACGGTCCTTCCTTCCTTCCTTCCTTTCCTCCCTCTCTCCCTTCCTCTCATTCTCATCTTCCTTCCTTCCTCCTACCCTCCCTTCCTCCTTCCTTTCCTCTCTCTCTCCCTCTCCTTCCTCCATTCCTTCCACACTCCATTTCTCCTTCCTTCCTTCCTTCCTTCCTTCCTTCCTTCCTTCCTTCCTTCCTTCCTTCCTTCCTTCCTTCCTTCCTTCCTTCCTTCCTTCCTTCCTTCCTTCCAGCATAACCCTTCAAATTGTATATTCCTGCTCTGGATATCTCCAGGCAGGCAAGGCTGAGTCAACCTTGAGCCTGGTGAGGTTTGAACTGCCAGATTGCAGGCAGCTGGCAGTCACCAGAAGTAGCCTGCAGTAGTGCACTCTGACCACTGGGCCGCCATAGCTCATAAATGGAGCAGTTACAAAAACCAAGCCAAGCACCAAAGGAGGTGAAGGCCGCCTCTTCTTCCTCCATCACTGCTCCACCCAGGGCACTCCTAAGCCGCCCGTCAGAGGGGCCCAGAAGGACAGGGGAGAGAGACGGCAGGGTTACCTGGCATGCAAATGCACTGGAAGACCCCAATCTGGTCCAAGCAGGTGGCATCATTCTGGCAGGGGTTGGAGGAGCACTCATTGACGTCTATCTCGCACCGGGGACCCGAGTAGCCCATCTGGCATTGGCAATAGAAGGAGCCCTCCGTGTTCAGGCATTTCCCAGCATGCTCGCAGGGGTTGGCACCTGGCAGAGGGGGAAAAGGAGGATGAGGCCCTGTCCCCTGAAGGTGTGTATATGTGTGTGTGTGTGTGTGTGTGTTAGAGAGAGAGAGAGAATGGCCAAGAGGCCCTTCTGTGAGTCTTTCTCTTGTCCTTGTTTCAGCCCCCTCCCCAATTCCAAAGCACCAATTCCTCCTGTCCAGCTGCTGGTCCAACCAGCAATGCAACAAACAAGGCAAATGCAATTTTCCTCTCCCTGGGATGACCCAAAGGGGCGTGGCACAAAAGCAACAAAGTCACAAAAGTAGGTTAAGTCCCTTTAATTCCTCCAACTTGGCCCCCAGTGTCCAGTTATCATCGGCTGGAGAAAAATCTCTCCCAAGAACAGTTTTTAAAGGGGAGAAATTCCATCCCACCCAAAGTACATATAGATTATAAATAAAAACCAGCACAAACCACGCTGCAGCAACTAATGAGACAGGGCAGGATAAGGGATTGAAGACATCAAAAGATAATGAAACACATAGTTGGGAGGACGCCAGATTCCAGGTAAGACTTGACAAAGATAATTCACGCTTTGCTTCCAGCGCAAGCGCCCTTTTTAAATCCTGTTTTCCAGCTGCAGCTAATGAAGGGAATCAGGGCCTTTTTCTCCCCCGTAACCCATGTTGCTCCCTTCTCCGTTCCTCCCTGTGTGCCCTAGGATGAAGCCACTTGTGTAGGCTACTGGGTATTCCTTGTCTCACGAGTGCAACCGAGCCCAAAACTTCTGTGGCCAAGGGAGAACTTGGTTCAGCGGGTTTCTACCCCTTTTATGACCTTTTTTGCCACCATTGTGAAGCGAATCCCTGCAGCTCTTAAGTTCGTCTCACACACGGCTGTTCAAGTGAATCTGGCTTTTCCCCCACACACCCTCCCTGGACCTTTGCACGTCAGAAAGTCACAAAAGGGGAATTGTAAGTGTGAATCGGTTGCCTGAATTTTGATCATGTGACCATGGAGAGACAGCAATGGTCATAAGTGTGAAAAACGGTCATAAGTCACTTTTTTCAGTGCCATTGTAACTGTCATGCCCTTGTTAGAGTCGGACTCTGAGGGAGAGGAGGAGCAGCCGATAGGGGGTGGAGGTGTGGCTCCGGAGGTTGTGGAGGAGGCTGGGGAAAGGCAGAAGCCGGCTGGGCAGTCAGAGGAAGAACCAAGCCGATCCCCTCTCCATCCTAGGACATGCAGGGAGGAATGGAGAAGGAAACAACTTGGCTTACGAGAGAGGAAGCGGCCATGATCCCCCTCATTAGTTGCAGCTGGAGAGACTAGTATATAAGAGAGACGATTACAACACAGTGTTGCCAGAAGCAAAGCGTGTGTTATTTTGGGCTGAGGTTATCTTGGTTGGCATCATTCCAACCTTGTTATCTCCTTGAATTTGGTAATTACTTATCCTGGTCCATTGTGGAAATTTCATCATTGTAGTTTGCTTTAATTTTTTTTATTTCGCCTCTATCTGCTCATTGAGTTTGGTCTGTATTGCTTTCTTTCGAAGACTATTTCTGAGTACGTTTTATCTCCCACTGAGAATTATTGAACAGTGGGGCCAAGTTGGAGGCATTAAAGGACATTTAATTACGTTTTGGATTTTGTTACGTTTGTGTTACACTCTGGGTCATCACAGTAACTTTGAATGGTCACTAAACTGTTGTAAGTCAAGGATTACCTCTATGGGGGGGGGGGGGATTGGCTTTGATACAAAACAAAACAGAAGCCCCCCCTGTCTCAGCTGCGGCCCTCTCCTCCTCCTTCCCCTTGTAAATAGCGTCCCTTCCCCCATCCTGTCCCGTCAGGGGGCAAAGGGTTCCTGCTGGCATGTTGGGTTTGGCCACCTAAACTGGGGGTTCCCCAAAGGAGCCAATACTGACACGCCACCCCCCAAGCTTCAATGGAGCCACATCCAAGGGATCGATGGTAACATTATCTGGTACTGCCATTAGTTAAAGTAGTATTTATCTAAGTATCTTTATATAATAAAATGTGGTTTTGGGGGGGGGGGGCAGGATCAAGGAAACCTCACGAAGGACTTGATGAGATGATGAATTTGGAGCCAAATTCACACTGTCTAAATTCCAGCGTCTCCTCCGACCGTCAAGATGGGTGGCAAATGAATCTAATCACCCTCATTTAATGACCCTGTAATCCCTTGCATTGGGGTGGAGTCTGGGAAACCGAATGGAGCAGAGTGTTTACTACAACTTTAAAAGCACAACTATAATGACGTGGGAAAATACCCAAAGCTGAATACCATATATATATATGTTTGCACTGGTACGAAGCCGAAAGCACCAGCCTGAGGATGGCGAGTGGGACCTCGCCAAAACATCGCCAAGATACTCTTAAAGGGTTTTGTTCCAAGGTCGGTTGTTGTGTCCCAGTTCCTCCCCAGACTCTTCTTCAATCCCTCCAGGGGTCTCACGATGCCCCCTTACCCAGCAAGCATTCATCCACGTCCTTGTTGCAGGCAGGCCCCATGTACCCCGTGGGGCAGGTGCAAATGGCTCTCCCGGTGACGGGGTTGGTGTCGCAGTTGGACCCTTCGTTGCAAGGGTTGCTGATGCAGGCATCTTCCAGGTGGCACAGCAAGCCTGCAGAAGGCAGAGACCAGACTCAGAAAGACACAAACACACACATACACACACACTCACAAAGGGGGTCCCTCATCCATCCACAGTGCAGGGCGGCCAAGAGAAGATGGTCAATGGCCCCACTGCCACAATGGAGGCAACCTGGTTATTGAAATGCTTGCTTGGAGGCTAGATACTGAACCGTATCCTAGCCAAACCATCTGGGCTTAATTTACTGGCAAAGCCAGGAAAACAATACGTAGCAAGCCAGGGATAGCTGAGAGCCGGTTTGGTGTTGCGGTTAAGCCACCAGAGGTTAGGAAACAGCAGGCGGCGAGTTCTAGTCCTGCCTTGGGGCACAAACCCAGCTGGGTTACCTTGGGCCGGTCCTGCTCACTCAGCCCCTAGGAAGGAAGCAGTGGCAAATCACTTCTGAAAACAAAATAGAAACCTTTTCAAGAGAACTGTAGGGAGTCCAGGCAGCCTCCAGAAATCAGACAGACTGAACAGAAATGTTTAAAAAAGGGTGCGAATTAGTATGCCGGTGACTGGCAGTTGCTCAGGTCTTAAACAGACCTGGTTTAAAGGGAACTGGGAAACACAGCCACAGGGTGGCTGGCCTGGGCAGCTCTGAGAAGGCCTGGCTGATCCATCGGAGTAAGTCAGTGCATTCTCAGCAGCTGGAATTGGGCTGTGGATAAACATCTGGAGACCTCTGAGAATGCAGGGACTAGCCATCCTCTTGTTCTGTTTTTTTCTTTCTTTTTTTCTGGGTTTTTTTTCCTGTAACCCCTTTTTTTGGGATGGAGTCGGGGTGACTGAATAAAGGTGAGCATTTACTGGCCGGGTGCCTTCCCTGACACCTGTGCAGAGTTCACAGCAAATTTTTTTCTCTTTGCACACCCAAAGAGAAACATCTGCCGCTGCCTAGGATTGAATTCTCAGCCTCCCAAGTGTGAGGCGAGCGTCTTCACCTCTAAGGCCACCATGCCGCTCCCTCTTGTTCTTCCGTAGCCTCTGCAAATGTATTGGGACTACAACTCCCAGAATTCCTAGAGGGCTCCTGTAATCTTAGCACCTACAGAGGGAAGCAGGTAGAAGAAGGCTAGTCAACCTGTAGCAGAATTGACAGAGCTCCGCTGTCGCATGGAAAGGTGCAGGAACACTGAGTGTGCTGCTGGGAATTGTGCCAGTTGCTCTCTCACAAGCCTTGCACACCTCCAAAAGAAGAAGCTAATGACTGATACTCTAAACATCTACCACCAGGAGATGAAATTCTCCGTGCTGTGTGGTCAGACTCCTGTCAGTTCCTGCGTTCCCCATGGCTATGTTTCCCATCTTGCTGTGCCCAGCACTCCAATTTTGAAAATTCAAAATCAAATTTCAAAATCAGAAGGGACCCTGGAGGTCTTCTAGTCCAGCCCCTGGCTCAAGCAGGAGAACCAATACCATTTGAGACAAGTGGCTGTCCAGTCTCTTCTTAAAGACCTCCAGTAGACAAGGAGGGATGGATGGAAACTAAACAAGGAGAGATTCAACCTGGAAATAAGGAGGAATTCCATGGAGAGCAATCGGCCCATGGAACAAAAGTTGCCTTTGGAAGTTGCGGGAGCTTCATCCCTGGAGGCTTTCAGGAAGATTTTCTGTCTTTTTTTTTGTTAGGAATTAATGTGGGAAAATACGACAAGGACATTATATATTCAATAATTCACATAATCACAGCTGTGAGATTGGCTTATGCACAACAGTGGAAACATAAAGAAACTCCAAGTGAAATAGAAATAATTAAGAAAATCTGGATGTGTGCAGAAAAGGACAAATTGACAAAAGAACTAAAAAATAAGGACGAATCAGATTATTACAAAATATGGGATAGGTTTTATGGTTGGCTAGAAAAGAGAAAGGATCAAGATAATAAGAAATTATTAAATGTATATGTTATATACTACATATATAGAATGTAAATATGTACTATTTTTTATATGTAATTTAGCAATGTAACACAACTATGAGGGTTAGGAGGATTGTACCGTGTCCATTGTTTTTAATGTTCTTTTCTGTTTTGTTTTTGTATTTGTCTAATAAAATGTAAAATTTTTTTTAAAAAAGAAGATTTTCTGTCAAAAATAGTGTAGGGTCTCCTGTGTGGGTGGGGGGGTTGGACTAGATAACCTCCCCAGTCCTTCAGACCGGCCGTACCCCAGTTCCTGCAACCATCCTTCCTCTCTCTACACACCTGTGCGTCCATGTGGGCACTCGCAGTAGAACGAGGCCACCCGGTCGTGGCAAGTGGCCCCCAGGGAGCATGCCGCACTGGCGCAGTCGTCAATGTTCTCGCTGCAGTCCTCCCCGGTCCAACCATTCACACAGACACAGTTGTAGTCACCATGGGTGTTGTGGCAGGTGCCGCCGTTCTGGCAAGCGTTGGGAATTAACTGACATTCATCCACATCTTCGGTGCAGTACTGGCCTAGAAGACCAAAAAAAAGGGGGGTTGATCCAAATTGACAGACTAGAACGCTGGGCCGTATCTAACAAAATGAAATTCAGTGTAGAGAAAAGTGAAGTCCTACACTTAGGCAAGAAAAACCAAAAGGACACATACAGACTGGGTGAAACCAGGCTCAATAGCAGTAACTCTGAGTGGGATATTGGAGCCTTAGTGGACAACCAGCTAAATAAGAGCCAGCCGTGTGCAGCAGCAGCCAAAAAAACCCAATGCAATCCTAAATTGCATTAACAGAGGGATACAATCGAGATCAAGGGAGGTACTAATACCACTCTATAAAGAGCCTTAGTAAGGCCACACCTAGAGTACTGCATCCATTTTTGGTCACCACACTATAAAAAAGAGGCTGTGGTTACTTATGACTCCGACTAGCTCCATACCCGTGCTTCACTATGAAACTATGTGGTTGGGCTTAATTTTGGGGGAGGAAAATAAGGGGAAAAATTCTGCCTCTTCCCACCAGCATCCATCGGTATTCATCTGGCTAGCGTCCTGTCAGTGTGTGAGACAGTTCAGGGCTGTTTGGAAACTGAAAGAGTATTTGCTGTGTAAGCAAGAAGGAGACAGCAAGGAGCCTGGGCGTGGCTTAGCTCAACTGTTCTGGGGGCTGGGGGATTCTGGGAGCTGAAGTCCACCAGCTGCTTAAGGTTGCCAAGGTTGGAGACCCCTGGTTTAAACAATACAGCCAAAAGACGAACAGAGGTAGATGCAAGCATTTTTACCTCTGTTCGTCTTTTGGCTGTATTGTTTTAAATTGTTACAAGGGACTCATTGTTTTAAAATATGTTTTGCTTTAAAAAAAACAAACCCTGATAGGTTGGATTTCAAATTCAGCTAAGAGAGAAAAATTTCAAGCCAATCGTTTACCCGACTTTCCTCCCTTTGGGGCTCCCTGATTTCACCCCCCCCCCCCCCCCAGTGCCCCCCCCCCTGTCCATTCAGGTGGGCACTGGCAGTTGTAGGTGTTCACCCCATCCACACAGGTGCCTCCGTTCCTGCAGCTGTTTCCAGGACAGTCGTCAAGATTCTCTTCGCAGTTCTGGCCCGCGAAACCTGCCGGCGGAGGGGGAGCAAAAGGACAGGTGAGACCCATTCTCAGCCCCACCCACCCCTGAGAAGAATGGACAAACTGGTATGCAAGAAGCGAACCAAAGGCAAGAACTGGCCCAGGAGCTTCACAGCCTTCCTGCCATCAAGAACCACCATCCCGGCCTGAACAGCATCCGAGTCCCCAAAGACAGGAAGTCCCCAAAAGAGAAATCCAACACAGGAGAGATCATATATCAACCAGTAACAGTGAGGTAAATAATCCAGCTTTCTCCAGACTGGGACTTTCTGGGATGTTTGCAATTCCAGATCCCAACATTTCTAGCCAGCACCAAGTTGAGAATCCAACAGCTCCAAGGCCAGCTGCTTTTAGGTGATTCTCAATCTTGGCAGCTTCAAGTTTCGTGGATTTCAGCTCCCAGAATCCCCCTGCCAGTATGTTGGCTAGGGAATTCTGGAAGTTGGAAGTCCACCTCTGTTGATTTCCCAGGTTGAAAAAGGCCGGTTTAGGTACTACGAAGAAGGGGAAAGCTGGCGACCTCCTGGTTTGTTCTATTGCGAAGTACCTTCCGAAGACACACAGGTAACGGATGGCCCTGGGGCTTTTTGGATTCATGGGTTCTAGGTGCTACTTGGGTTCATTTTTTATTATGTGGTTGTGGTTGTCGCTATTACCCTGTTGCACTAATCATGATCATGGCTTATGTGGGCTGGTTTACTTCTTCATGATTTGATGCTTATCCATCATCGTCATGTCCCCAGCGAGGGATAAATTATCTCTGCAGCAGAAAATGAGGGTCTGTGTGGGGTAGTCCAGCCATCTCCCCCCACCCCTTCTTCCCCATCCGAGCTGGATGCCAGGAACAGACCTATGGCTAGCTTCATTTCCTTATATGGCTTTTCCATAGATCCCAACTTTCTCAAGGAAAAAGCCAGGGAGCAGAACCAGCAACTGCATATGTGTCTCGTTTAAAAATGGTTGTTTAAAGTATCCCAGCATCTTGCAAAAGTCCGATGGCGGAGCAGCCAGGAATGCAAATGGGGGGCATGGCAGGAAAAGGAAAGGGGTGGAACGACACGAAGTGAAGAAATCGGGGTTGGGTCTGGCTGCTGTGCGAAGGCAGCGAGCCCTCAAAATAAAAGAAGTTGGCAGAAAACCTGTGAGGTTGCCAAATCTCTGCCAAGAGCGCTGGAATCATGCCAGATGAGTGTTTGGCTATTTCCAATCATGTTCTTTCAACGTGGCTTCCACAGATGCCCTCCGTATCCCTCCTGGGTCAGGCAGGAGCTTCATCCCCGGAAGCTTTCAAGAAGAGACTGGACTGCCACCTGTCAGAAGTGGTGTAGGGTGGGGGTTGGACTAGATGACCTACAAGGTCCCTTTGTTAATCTGTTATTATTCTGTTATTCAGAAAGTGAGGGAGAGAGAGAGAGAGAGAGAGAGAGAGAGAGAGAGAGAGAGAAGGCACTCTAGCCTACCTGCAAGGCAGGTGCACTCGTAAGCCACGTCTCCGGTCTGCTGGCAGGTGCCCCCGTTCTGGCAAGGTGAGGGGTTGCAGGGCACGTAGAGGTGTTCGCAGTTGTCGCCGGTGAAGGCCTGCCGGCAGTGGCACTGGTAGGAGCCGATCTCGTTGACGCAGGTGCCCCCGTTCTTGCAGATGGGAGGCGTCCGGTTGCACTCGTTGAAATCTTCCTTGCAAGTGGCCCCGTGGAAGCCCTGAGGACACCGGCACACGTAGCTGGACTCGAAGGGCACGCACTGCCCGCCGTTGGCACAAGGGTTGGAGGCACAAGGATCGGCCTGCTGACACGTCTTGCCTGCACAGGCCAAGAGAGGAGACAATCCTGTTTCGAGCCCAAAAGTCAGGAAGGAGGAGGAACCCAGACACGCCACAAACGGGACCTTGACAACCTTCCATTTTCCAGTCCTGATCTTTTCAATGTTTTTATAGAGCGTTGCAAACACCCGTGTTCCATTTTCTTTTCTTTTTTTAAAATAAATTTTATTAAAGTTTTACAGTTTTAAAAACAAATCATATTTACAATTTTTGCAGTGCAATTTGCAGTGCAATTTTTGTGGCATTCTCCATATTCACTTACATACATACATATATACACACACAAACACACATATGTACATCCATTGCATTTACATTTTGTATTATCTTTTGTTCCTGTTATCTATCCAAACATACCATTTCTCCCAAACCACATAGTATTATTTTTCTTTCTTCTCCTGCAATTCCATTGTAAATTTATTCATTTCCGCACAATCCATATATTTTTTTTTATTATCATATTATCTGTAGGACTACTCTCTGATTTTCAGTTTTGAGCATAGGTTAATCTAGCCGATGTCAATATGTATATATTCAATTTCTTTCTCGTAATCCCCTCTAATTATCCCTAATAGGAACATTTCAGGCTTAAGTTCTATTTTTTACCTGTGTTCCATGTTCATCGGCTTCTTTAAAAATACACATTTTCTTTTTTGGCTGCCTGGTTCTATTTCTTCTACTTTAGAGTTTTTTGTATGTGTAAACTACAGGGATACCTTGATCCAAGAATTTAAACATTTTAAACCAGGACCGCGTCTAGTCCCTGTGCTGGAAGCCTGATCTCTTCCACCTCCCACATGATGGGCAGAACCAGCTAAATCAAGTGTTTTCCAAACTTGGACAACTTTGAAGATGTGAGGACTTCAATTCCCAGAATTTTCCAGCCAACCTTGCTGGGTGGAGAGTACTGGGAGTTGAATTCACACATCTTCAAAGTTGCCCAAGTTGAAGAAAGTAACACTGATCAAGAGTACAAAAAAATGGAGAGAAACCTTTGGAAAATGGATAAGAGATGGCGTTGGCACCCCCTGGTTCCATCTGTCACGAAAAAAAAAAAATAGATTTCTTTTCCTTGCATTCTTGAAGTCCGGCAATCCCAACAAGGCCAGGCTCGGTTCTGCAACTGAGAACTGGGATTCTACCAGGGATGCTCCCGGTTCGCACCGGTTCAACTGAACCGGATGTTAATTTTATATCTGGTTCACCGAACTGGTAGTTGAAATGACGGGCCGGCCCCACCCAACCCGCCCCACCCCTCACAGGAGTCCCACGGTGGCCCGTTTTGGATCCGAGGTAAATGCAGGGCCCACACGGAGGCTCAGAGAGGGTGAAAAAGGGGCCTCCCAGAGGCAAACGGAAGGCCGGAAACAGGCTTGTTTCCAGCTTCCGGAGAACCTCCGGATCCCAGGAAGGGCAAAAAAACGGGCCTCCTGGAAGTTCCGGAGGGCCTCTGGAGCCTGGGGAGGCCGCTTTCGCCCTCCTGGAGGCTCGAGGAAAGTCTCCGGAGCCCAGGGAAGGTGAAAAATGGGCCTCCTGGAAGTTCAGGAAATCCGGAAATGGGCCCGTTTCCAGCTTCCAAAGAGCCTCTGGAGCCCAAGGGGGCCGTTTTCACTCTCCTGGAAGCATGAGGAAAGCCTCCGGAGTCCGGGGAAAGCAAACCCCCCTCCTCCCCCTGCCATGGTGCAGGAGGCCTACTAGGCCACGCTCACCCGGCAGAGAACCGGTGGGTAAATTTTGTTTGGATTTTACCAGGGGTGGAGCGGCAGGCATCTCAAAAGGGGCCCTTGGGAAGGTGTGCCCGTTGCTCTCTCTCTCTCTCTCACCTGACCAGCCTGGAGGGCAGCGGCATTTGTACTCGGTCAAGGTGACGAGGTCACAGCTTCCTCCGTTGCGACAGGGTCCACTCAGGCAGGCGTTCTCCTCAATGGTCAAGCACAGCTTATCGATGTAGCCCAGCGGGCAGGAGCAGACGTAATCAGGGGTGCTGCCCTCCACCACGGGGTGGCAGGTGCCGCCGTTGTTGCAGGGGGAACTGAGGCACAAATTTGGGAACTGGCACCGCTGCCCGACGAAGTCACTGGAGCATCTAAGGAAAGAAAGGAGGAAGAGGATGAGCAAGAGGCCTGCAGGAGCAATCAAGGGATGGACAGCCGTCCTTCCAATGCCATCCAAACCTTCTGCCCTCCTGCTGTTGGTGGGCAGAGGATGGGACGGAGCCGGCAGGGAAGACCGCGAAAAGAGCAGGCTTCAAACAAAGGACAGCCGTAACCACGCTGCTACGGATAACGGTCTCTAAGACTCATTTTGCAGCCCTTAGGAGGTTTCCCCCCCACCCCTTTCCTTAATGGGACTCTTAGGAGAGAAATTCTTTAAAAAGAATAAAAAGATTGCAAATTTTGAAAAAAGTAAAATAATGTGGAAAAAGTACAAAAAAAAAACAATTAGAAAGAAGCGATACTGTAAAGAAGCAACTTTCAATCTTCTTAACTGCGGTTATGTTTATATTTTTGCCGTCTCTAAGGTTACAACATAATTTAATTATTTCCACAGTCTACCCTTTCTAATCATCAAACCCATAAAATCACAAGTTTGGGGTTTTTTTTTCTTTCCTTTTTCAGCAAAAAGTCCATAATACATGAAGTTATTGTCCTTTCGTTGAACAGAGAGGGTAATTGTGTTATCTCTGCTAATCCTGCATCTTCATCAACCATTCCTCCGTTGTGGGTATTTCAGAGTCTTTCCATTTTTGCACGTAATAAAAATCTCACAGCAGTTATCATACAGAAAAGCCATTTTCCACAACTCTTTTTCTAATTGTCCTGCAGGGAAAGTGCTGGTTTTAATTGAATATCCGTTTTTAAAATACTTTGGGTCACGGCCCTGTATTGAAAACCAGAATTTTCTGGCTTTTTTGCAAATCTGCCAGGCATGCTAAAACTTTTAACTCTCCACATTTCCAACTTAAATGTAAAGTACCTGTCCACATTCTAGATCGTTTTCCTAGCCCTTTGGAGTGTTTTTAAAGAATATTTTTTAAATCTCTGAGAACATTTTGCACTATAAATATGCAGGTCACTGGAAGCTAAGAGAAGAGCATTTGTTGGTTCTCTGAAATCCCCACCTTTCAAAAAGCTCACTCAAAAAGCCTTTCTCTGGTTCTGTTAGATTTTCAAACCTCTTTTTGGGGTGTGGGGTGTGGAGGGGATTTACAACCAATTCCAACTTCAATATTTCCTCAACTCTGGCCACTTTAAGATAGGTGGACATGAGCTCCCTGGGAACTGAAGTCTACTTATTTTAAACTGGTTGTGAAACGCCGATTTAAATTCTGAGATTCTGGGCAAAGACGCGAATTCTACGTTAAGCCGCTTAAGATGGGAAACAGTTTGCAAATTTTGATCAAGTGATCCTGGAGAGCTTTTATGATGGGAAGTCACTTTTCCCAGCCTTGTCATCTCTTCGAACGGTCACAAGCGGTTGTAACTCAAGGACTACCCACAATTTTCATCACGAAACTAGGAGAATTAAACTAGGTTTAATTCCCATTTGCCTTTTAATTTTAAAAGCGAATGGCTCTTTTGTGTGTATGCTGAGATGTCCAAACCCCATTTTAGTCCCTTACAAGCTTAATTCTCTGCACAATAGTTTCCATCCCTTCCTGAAAACCTGAAGAAGCTTCTCCCGCGACCAGGAATTCCCTCAAAAGGCCCATCAGCCAGAGCCTGGTGGCAGCAGGAGGGGGTTTTATTTGTGTTTTCCTTCCTTTATGTTTTGAGAGAGAGAGAGAGAGAGAGAGCCTTGCAACGGCCATCCACTGGTCTCGCTGGCCATCCGTGAGGCATCGCCAGAAGGAACTGGAGCCAACTGGCTCATGAAAGCAGCCCTCTCCATTTGGCAGGGCCCTTCTGAAAGGAGGTGGACGTCCCTGGGGAGAAACTGGCAACATGGCCAAGCTGAGCTCAGGCTAAACATAGGAAAGACCACCTGTGAGGGGCCCTGGGTGCTCCCTGAGCTTGGGGATTCTCTAGCCAGGGGGGAGGAGGAGGAGGAGGGGGGGGAGGGGGGGGGGGGGGGAGGAGGAGGAGGAGGAG